GAGGACACACACTGGTGAGAAGCCGTACAAGTGTGATGTATGTAAAATGCGTTTTACTCAGAAGAGTCATCTTGTCGAGCACATGAGGACACACACTGGTAAAAAGCCTTACAAGTGCGACGTATGTAAAGTGCGTTTTTCTCGAAAGGGCAGTCTTGTCGCTCACATGAGAACACACACTGGTGAAAAGCCATACAAGTGTGATATGTGTAAGGAGGTCTTTAGGTTTCTATCACAATTTAATAAACACAAAACAATTTGTCGCTAACTTTATCCCCTTTCAAAATCTTAAACTTTGTAACCTGTTAAATCATATTTTTATAACTATCGGTGTCAATTTATTTTTGTTTGTTCATTGTATTACGAAAAAAGTGGAGGTCTACAGAATTCATCATTTTGACGACACCTTCATTTTGTTAATTGCTCGTGCATGCCGGTTATGTGGCGGTTCGTGGACCCGAAATCCTTAATGTTTGTTACCAGACCAGGCAGTTTTTCAACGACTATTGCAACAATTTTTTTTGTCATTGTATTACGAATAAATACTAGGTAGATGTACGCCAGACCACGTCTCGCGTAACACGCTTCGCGATATCTCACGAAACACTGTTACGATGCGACGCGCCTGGCATACATCTACCTAGGCTTGCGGCGCTGACACCGGAGTCGGGCAAAAGACAGAGTCGTAGATAGTCCTTCGGCTTCAAAGGACACAAATTTTACCCCCAGGACTTCATTTTGACGAGTTGCCCCACCAGAGTCCATCAAATGTCTGAGAAACAACATTAATATAAGAAGGGGTCATTTTCAAGTGGAAATCGCCCTCTGGCGACTAAACGGTTAGTAAAAGAGCCAAACGGACAAAATTTTGATCCTACGGACTCTACTTTGACAAGTTACGTCTTAGAAAAATGTAAAAAAATAAAAAATTAGGAGAAGTATTTTGGGGTTTTCGTTTTTGATTTTTTTGACAGGTCAATTTTTAAGCTAGGGGGCTCAAAATCAATACCGTTCTTGCTTTGTATGCCACAAAGCTAAGCTAAAAATTTCAGGTACCTAGCTCAACCCGTTCTCGAGTTATCGTGTTTACAGACAAACAGACAGACACACACACAGACAGACAGACACGAAACTTTTTGATCATCACTGGAGTAATAGGCTTCGCTATCGCTCAGCCAACAAGGGTATCCAGATTTAATCAACCTGGCGATATTTCCATTTTGTTCCTTTCATGTGCATGCCAGTTATGTGGTGGTCCTTGGACTTTGGCGATACAAATTTCTGACGTGGTGCTTTTGTTGCAGCGGTGGCGATTCCAGTATTTGTTTCAGCAGCGCGGCGTCCTTGGGGAAGGATCCTGAAGAGGTGTCCGTCGCAGACTGTCCCGAGCTGGACGAGCTGAAACAAGAGGACGATCCGCTGGGGCTGGTGGTGGCGGCGTGCTTCTCGGT